CCTTATTCGAGTTTGGGAGGAATGTTGCTACAGAGCTTATTGTTCACCCCCTACAAACAACATATTTTTCAGATTACGTGTTAGATGAGGAGCTCGGAGTCAATAAGCAGGTGCATTGGGAAGCTCTGCTAGACGGGCACGTGGATCCCATGGTGGATGCTTAGGGTTATACTCTTCTAAGTGCTAGACTAGGAATTTCTTTTGAGATTATGTAAAGACTAATCTTTTGTTATATTTCGCTGCAAGTTTAAATGTAATTCTTTTGGGATATAATAGCCATGTTTTGGCATATTCTTTTGGGAATGATGTTGTAAATATTACATTTGATGAATGGAAATCCTTTATTGATGGATTTTATTAGTTGTTCTTATGATATGAATGGTTTTAAATTGTAATGCCGTCCAAGGTGGTTTTTGTGGCGTTACACGGATATAATCTAGCAAATAATTTAAAGTGGTTCGCTAGAGATGTATTGACCAACTTTGAATTAACCATGTTAAACCTCTCTAGCACCTTTTCCACATATTTGTTCTGTGAAACCCATAGTTTGTCTTTTCCTCTGTCCCTTCGAATTTCCATGACAAGGATCTTTTTAGCAGCACCTAGATCCTTCATGTCAAACTCACTCTATAATCTAGACTTTAGCAAATTTACCTTATGCATGTTATTTAAAGTAATTAACATGTCATCAAAATAGAGCATCAGAATAATAAAAGAACCATATTCAAGCATCTTATAATAAACACAACTATCATAACTGCTTCTCATGTAGCCAACATGCACCATAAATGATTCAAATCTCATATATCATTGCCTAGGATACTATTTCAACCGATAAAGAGATCTTTTAAGTTTACATACTAGATTCTTTTTACCTTGCACCTTGAATCCTTCTAGTTGCTCAATATATATTTCCTTCTCCAATTCTCCGTGAAGGAACGCTGTCTTGACATCAAGTTGCTGCAACTCAAGGTCAAACATAGCTACCATGACTAACATAACATGAATAGAAGAATGCTTTACAACGGGAGAAAAATTTTCATTATAGTCAATCCCTCTGACTTGCCTATATCCTTTCGCTACAAGACGAGCTTTAAATTTTTCTTCTTCATTTCTATTGTAAGTTCTTTTTTTCGACAAGCTCCCAAGTGTTGTTTTTGTGTAAAGACTCCATCTCATCCTCCATTTCTATCATCCACTTTTCACTTTCTTTGTCATTGATAGCCTCCTGAAAAGAAGATGAATCTCCACTACCAACAACCAATGCAAAAGAAACCATATCCTCAAAACCATACCTGTCTGGTGCCTTATAGGTTCTTTTCCATCTTCTAGTAGCTAGAGTTGTGGATTCTTATTGGTCATCATCACCACCAAAAGTATCTTCTTAAGAGGACGTTGGTACATCATCCTCTTCATTGGGCCGTTGTGTTTCATCTGGCTCTATCTGAATTGAGAACTTTTTTGCATGAACCTCCACTTGCTTATCAACATCTTCCCTATTTAAGTTCAGCATATGCTCTTCATTGAAGACAACATCCCTGCTAATTACAACCTTTTGTGCAACTACATCCCAAAGTTTATAACCTTTCACGACTTTTTTGTAACCAATAAATATGCATTGTTTGGACTTTGGATCCAACTTCGATTGTTGTTGCTCCTACACGTGAACATAAGTAGTACAACCAACTATTCTTAAATTAGAATAATCAACTAGTTTACCTGTCCACACCCCTTTAGGGACTTTTTTCAGCAATAGTTGAACACGGTGACCTGTTAACAATATAGCATGCCATGTTAACAACCTCAACCCAAAATAATTTTGGAAAATCTGCCAGAAGTCTCATACATCTTGCTTTTTCTAAAAGGGTTATGTTCATTTTTTTCGCTACACCGTTTTGTTGTGGCCCACCTGGTGCAGTATAATGTTGAGTGATCCCTTCTGTCGGGCAAAACTTTCTGAATTCTCAGAGTTCATACTTCATGCCATTTTTCGTTCGTAGGTACTTGACCTGCTTACCTATCTGCTTTTGAACTTCAGCTTTCCACTGCTTAAATTTGTTGAAGACTTCATTTTTGTGCTTCATAAAGTAGACCCATACTTTCCTAGAGAAGTCATCAATAAAAGTCATGATATATACTGCTCCACCTTTGGATTGAACTGGCACGGGTCCCTAAACATTTGAGTGTATGTACTCCAACACATCCTTGTTTGTATGTTTTCCGGTCTTGAAGCTCACCCTACACTATTTACCATAGAAGCAATATTTGCAAAAAATAAATTTACAAACTTTTACCCATCAAGTAGCTTTCGTCTATAATGTCATAGAGTAGTTTTATTAGTACCTGGATCCAACGGAGTTGTCACAATTGCTCCACCTATAACAGTACTCCCTACCAATGTATACAAGTTACTCTGTCGTTTCCTATGACAACCATGGCCCCTTTAACAAATTTTAGAACTCAATCCGTTGCCATAAAAGTAAAACTATTTGACTCAAGTATACATAAAAAAATTAAATTCTTTTTCAGGTCAGGGACACGAGGTACATCACCTAGTGTTCTCACCATACCATCAAATATTTTTATTTTAATGGTCTCAATCCCAGCAATACTGCAAACTACATCATTACGCATTACAACAGTTTCTCCATTATTGGGTTTATAAGTATCAAACAATTACCTATACGGACACATGTGGTAAGAACATCCAGAATCCAATATCCATTTGTTAGCAAGATAATTCATACATGTGGTGACTAACAATAAATCACCATTACCGTCTGAACAACCTTGTGCAATGCCTACTTGATCTGAATTCGCAGATTTTCCTTTGTCCTCTAGATCTCGCTTTCTTTGATAGCAATCCTTTTTCATACGTCCTTCCTTATGGCAGTAATAACACTTGATTTTGCTACCATTCTTCCCTTTTGATTTTGAGTGTGACCTTCCTCTATTTTTAGAGCCTTTGTTTTTACTTCTTCCTCGTTGTTGGCTTGGTTCACCAATGGCCATCAACCCTTTTGCTTGGGAATCGTTTCATAGCCTTCAGAGTTTCTTAGTCTCCAAGAGAGCCGTCGTCACCTCATCAACCCTGAGAGTATCTTTCCTAATCAAAAGTGTAGTCACAAGTGTATCAAAAAAAGATGGAAAAGAAGCCAAGAGGAGAATAGTCTTATCTTCCTCTACAATTTTAACCTCAACACTAGAAAGTTGAGTAACAATTTTATTTAACTGTTTGAGATGATCAATAATATTTGTTCCTTCTACCATTCGCAATTGATATAATTGTTTCTTCAGTAACAATTTGTTTGTGAGAGATTTTGACATTTAAATTTTTTCCAATTTTTCCCATATATCCAAAGCAGAAGTTTCATTTAAAAAATTATATTTTACCTCTGGTGCAAGAGATAAACGGATGGTATTCACATCTTTCATCTCAAGTTCCTCCCAGTCCTCCTTTTTCATGTCTACTGGTTTTTTTGCCTTTCTTCAATATTGCTTTGGCTAGTCCTTTTTGCACCATGATGTCTTTAATCATATTTTGCCACAGACTATAGTTGTTTTTCCCATCAAAGGGCTCCAACTCGAATTTGCCAATCGAGATGCCTGTTTTCCATCATCGTACTCAGCATTGGTAATCAAGAACTATGCGCACTTGTTCTTAATTACAATCCTCCTGAACAAACCTGGAGCTCTGATACCACTTGTTGAGAATTAACTTCGCATCAATTTGGTCAGTATAACAATAAGAAAATAAATATGCAGAATAAAGAAAATCAAAACATAACTCACAATACCAAGATTTACGTGGTTCATAATATTTTTGCTTTCGCGTTTTCGAAAAACCAAAAAATAGAGACCAAAATTGTCTTTGATTTGTGGTGAACACTAAAAACAAAAAACATGTTTGGGAGTCTTTAGGGTGGCATGATAGCCCTCAAACAAATTCCTAAACTAATCAAGTGCAATACTGTTACTCAAGGCAAAAACCAACCCTAACCCTAACTACTACTAAAATTAGATCTCACACACACACACAAAAATCTAACACACACACAGAGAAATTAGATGCACACACACAGAAATCACACACACACAGAGACCTAGACATCAAACACACACACAGACCCAAGAATCACACACACACACAAACAAAAAAATCAGATACACACACAGAAGCAACGATGGAGGCAGAAATCATACACTCAAGATCTGAGATCTCTTCATTGCACAGAACAAGACGAGAGAGAGATGCGATGAAGAGAGCCATAGAAGCAGCGATTAAGAGAAGCAACGATGGAGGTAGCGATGGAGAGAAGCACCGATGGAAAGGGATGCATCGATGAAGGCAGCGAAGGAAAAAGAGACAGAGATGGAGAGAACGAGGAAGTGATGGAGAGAGAAGCAGAGGGAGGTGTTCGTCTGATATAGAGAGAGGAGAGAGAGAGAGAGATGCATAGTTTTTTATACTTCAACTAAAAAAGATGTGTTTTGCTGCTAAAAAGACTTGAAGACTGGATCTCATTAACTCCCCCAGCCCCCCTTGCGCGCTTGTTTCTATTTTCCTTATTTTTTGGGTCATCTTTTTTTTGTTTTTATTTTTGGGCCTTGTCTTCAAAACACCATATTTTATATGAAAGAGAAACACAAACCAAAACACATTTTTGTTTTTGTCTTTTTACAAAAAATGAAAACAAAAATAAAAAACACAAAACAAAAACGCCAACCAAACGCAACCTCACTCCAGATTAATTCCTCCTTCTCCTACAACTAGCTTTACCATGAAATAACCCCATTTCCTTTCTCCTCATCCTCCTTTGATCCTCTATAAACATACGAAAAACCCACAGCTGAGACAGCAGATCCATAGCAGATCTCCTCTCCAGCAACCACGAAGTTTCACAGAGCATTACCACTGACTTAACTCACATAACCACTCATCCACATTTACAGAACCGTTAATCAAGCTCTTACAAAGTTGTACTTTGAGCTATCTCATAATGGGTCGGCTTGTTTTGGCTTTCTTCATTCTAGCTGAGATCTTGCTGGTCCAAGCATTGGCAAATAGATATGAAACTTCAGAACCTTACCCAGCAAAACTTAGGGTTCGAAGCTTGGTTCTGCTGGAAAAGATGGTGATAACAGTTGCAGATTTGCTTGTATCAATTGGAGGTGTAGAGTCATCACCACCACCATCAGCGGAGGAGGAGAAGAGAGAGATGCAACAGAAGCTCCGGAAAACAAAAAAATTAGAAGACACCACTCCACTAATAACTCAGTGATTGGTGGGGGTTCATCATTGGTGGACTTGTAACTACCATTTTCGCCACAGTTTACTGCTACATTAGGGTTACAAAAGACAAAATGATGATAAGCATTAAGCTATCTGATCACAACATTGAGTTTCTTTAAGATTTTACAATTTTTCTCAGAAAAGTTGTTTTCAAATGGTTAGAATGATATACTTAGGTTAATCTTCTGGGTGGTTTTTGGAATTTGTTAACATTAATATTATTGGGACATAATTTATGTTGGTTTTGCACAACAAATAATTAATACAATTAATATTTGTTGAAAAATAAGAATTCAAATATAAAAAAAAATAATAAAAAAATGACACAAAGATATAATGTAGTTCGATACAACATACTCATCTTAATACAATGTACCTACATTCACGAACCAAAAACCTACATCGATATATCATCATTCACTAAAAAATTGGTCATCTGCTAACTAATTACACAATACTCAACTGTATTTATAGAGATAAAATATTAGAATCCAAACCTATTCAAATACAATTTGATCTTTATGTTTCCTATCACATGTATAATATACTTATTTATGGTATATTAAACTCTTCAAATATGTTTCCTATTCCATTTAGGATTCTTACATTAATTGTCCAACAAACTCTCATTCATGATAGTTAGAAAGTTTGAGTCAAATTCAAACAATTTAAATATGTTAATGTAATAGTTAGGTTGTGATTGTTAAATACGATGATGCACAACATAAGTTATGCACAACCAAATCAGTCGAGTGTATGAAACAAGGTAATTAATGAAGTAATCAATAGTAAAAGACAAAGATTGGGTGGTTGGGCGTAGGTGACCTAACCACTAAAGGTGACAACAGTAGCCAAAGAACTTTATTGATGAAAGAATAAAGTAGTAGGTGAGGGAGAGAGAGAGCAAGAGCAAAAGTAAGCTCAATGTGTGGTGTGTGTGCGATATCTCTTATATGTAGAGAGTTTATAATTTATAGGCACAGAGCCCTAGTTAAGGCGGTGACGTGAAGGTCAAGCAACAAGTCTTTCGAGTAGGATAGCTACAATTAAGGATATGTGTTATCTTAGAATAGTGGTTATCCCGATCAGTGTTATAAAATCCGGTCCAGACCGACAGGCTGACCCGGTGAACCGGTGCCTAAATTGGGCCGGTTCACCTATTGGATCATTTATCCACCAAAATTGGAGTAAATCCAGAGACTTGGAAAAAATCGGTAAAAATCATCACACCGGATGAGTTAATCAAACTGGCTGAGTTTTTCTATTTAGTATAAAAACTGAATTTTGGGGGCCCTTTTTGCATTTTTGCCTTGCTGCTCTAATCGTTCATTCCCTATTCTCCTAATCAGCTCCCTTCTTNAAATCGGTAAAAATCATCACACCGGACGAGTTAATCAAACCGGCTGAGTTTTTCTATTTAGTATAAAAACTGAATTTTGGGGGCCCTTTTTGCATTTTTGCCTTGCTGCTCTAATCGTTCATTCCCTATTCTCCTAATCAGCTCCCTTCTTCACGAACAACCCTCTCTCTCTCTCTCTCTCACACACACACACACACACACACACACAGTCTCATCAATCTCTCAGTCTCTCTCTACTTCTGGTCTCTACAGTAGTGTGAAATGTGCACTAGGAGCACGAAGACTCGAATTAAAGGGGAAGGAACTTTGATCCCTAAACTTCTTCCTTGCGACTTCGATTTTTGAAGGAGAAAGCTACTTCACCTTCACTGCTTCAGAGCTCCATCAATCGAGGCAACCGATCGACGATGACCATCAGGCACTGCAACAGCTATACTACTGACTCGTACTCTCTCTCTCTCTCTTTCTCTCTCTCTCTCTCTCAATCTGTCTCTGTGAGTTGCATTGCATACATTGTGGGTTGCATTGTATACATTGAATTTTGATGTTGATAATTGATAATACTATATTTTCAGAATTATTGGGTTGCATTTTTTTTTGTGGGTTGGAATTTGAAAGGGTTGATCTCAGTTTGGTTTCGGTCTCTCTACTCNATACTATATTTTCAGAATTATTGGGTTGCATTTTTTTTTGTGGGTTGGAATTTGAAAGGGTTGATCTCAGTTTGGTTTCAGTCTCTCTACTCTATCTAATAGTAACATGTACACTTTATGGGTTGCATTTTTTCTTTTGTGGGTTACAATATTGTGGGGATGTTATTGATACTATAATTTTTTAGGCTTGAAATTGATTATAGATGATGGTTTTTTATGCTGTGAAATGAGATGATGTTGGATTTACTGTCTTATGCATTTTAATTTATACTTTAAAGAGTACAAATTACGTGAATTATGTTTGGATTGAATGATTGATGCATAGTAGGAGACTTAGATTTGAAGTCTTGAAGTTAAATAGAGGTATATTTTTCTACTTACTTTTAGATTTACCAATTGTATTAGAAATTAAATGCATTAGATACATGTTTGATATTTTTTTTCTACTTAATTTTACATGTTTGCAGCTATTGTTATAATTATTGTATTTTTAGCCTATTTATTATTATTTATAATAATTATTTATTTTTTTATTATATGACTGGTTCGACCAGTGACCCAATAGTTGAACTAGTAATTCACTAATCCGGTCCCTCTGCCAGGTTGACGTCTGAGCCTGATTTTAAAACTATGATCCCGATGATTATTCTCCCACATGTACTGACCCTTCCTAGACTCTTGATTTGCGGGCTGAACCAAAGCCATGAACTAGGCCTAACTTATTTGGCGATTTAGACTTAGCCCATCGATTGGGCCCAGGCCTAATTGGTTCTTGGGTTCATCATTTGCCCTCCATGTCCTAAGCCCTTGTGGTCACAGAAAGTTGAGGACATGAGTGAGCTCTCTCATTTGTAGACGTATCTTGTTCCCCACTGTAACTTCTTCAATTTTTCATCCCTTTGCATTTACGAAGCTTCTTTCCTTGTTTGATAACTCCATGGTTGGGCAACTATTGTAGTAGCACCCAATCTCTTTTGTTTGGATTTCTCATTAGATCTAGCAGCCAAAACCCCCCTTTTTCATTTAGGGCATGGCCTATTGGTCAATAAATATGTAAACCGATGAATGGACTATTGATTTTTGCATCATTTTTATTGCTCCCCTTTCTCTCTGGATTGGGCTAAACAACCTTCCTCTCCCCATTTATAGATTGCAGAGAGCTTCATAAAGAAACTGGAGATGGGGATTAGAGAGAGACTGACGAGGACAAGCAAAGCTGCCACAGTGGGATCGCAGGCGAAATCAGGCGTTGGCGATACTTCGGCGAGGCCTGGCGAAGCCCAATCCACAGCGAAACCAGGGGCATCGCCAATCATCAAGGGCGACGTCGGAGACTAAGGGGGCAGCACATATGGAGGGAAAGACGACGCCCAAGGCGCCAGATAAGGAGAAGGCGACGCCCTTGGAGTAAAGAGCGCAGACAATGGCGCTAGGCAGGGAGACGTCACACGTGAGATGGGCAACTTGCGCGACGCCAGACACCAATGCCGGGCGAAGCCAAGCACGGGCTAGGCTGGGCTGGGCGACTGTAAGCGCAGGCCAAGTGCCGCCGGAGACGCGGGTGGAGGCTAGTTGGTGCTAGGGACGCGTTGGATGATGTTAGCGACGCGCTGAGTTACAGGTTTGGTCTTGAAGACGGGTTGGGTGCAGGAGGTGGCGTTGCCCTCGTAGTGGGTGACATGGGGGACGTCCCAAGCACTAGAGAGATGGGTAATGAGAGCAGGAAGTTGGGCTCCGTCGAGCAGGCGTCTGGTGTTGATAGGGATCAGCGAGTAGGCGTGCTGAGTAGTGAATGCAGTATCCTGGGTTTTGCCATGGAGGGGGAATGGAGACACCTTTCGACTAAGTAAGGCAAATCTGCTCACCCCCTTTGTTCCTTCTTTTTTTTTGACATTTTCTTGACTATATGCTCCTATCTTTGTAGTTGCCCCATTTGATGAAAGCATGATGGCAAACTCCGTACAGGCTTCTCAGTGAGTCAAAGGAGCCGCTGACAATGATGATTCGAAGGTAACTTCAATTTTTAGTTCCATAGATTGTTATTGTAGTATTGCCAATATTGTGTCCTCTTTTCATATCCTTCCTGCTATTCTGTGCTGCCGGGCCAAGGAGGACAAGCCGGCATGCTTCGACTCTTACAGGGAGATTGTTTTTTATGAGGATGTCCTAGAGACGGGATTGAGGTTTCCTATACCTGGGCCCATCTATCGGATTTTAGGTCACTTGTCGCTTACCCCAAAGAGGTTGACCTCGAATGGCTGGAGGGTAATCTTGGCGCTCTTTTCACTATAGCGGTTGCTTCATGGCGAGGATGTTTCTCCCCCTTTTGAGAAGTTCTTGGCTTCGTATGTACTTTTAGATAATCCCACTCCTCATTAAGGATGGTACCCTTTATTTCGAGGTCGGGCAAACCAATCACTGGACTACTCTTGAACTGTCATAGTTGGAAGTCCAAGTTTTTCTTCGTAGGAGATAAGTGGGCTGCCGAGGAGGATCGTGACTTAATGTCCTTGAGATGGTGTACTCTTCCGAAGACCAAGCTAGGTATGAGTTTTCCCCTTGCTTTTATGTCTGAATGTCATATCCCTCTCATATTCACTGCCTCTTTGGTACTTTTGTAGCTTCACCCATATTATCTGCGGAACAAGAGAGTAGACTCCAAGCTATGAGGGATCATCCTACCAAGTAATTTGCGGCCCTTACGTCTGCGTCGGGTCACTCTAGAGCCTCCCTTAAGTAAAAGAGGAAAGGTATTGATCTTTTCAATAAACTTGATGAGTGTAAACTCTTCTTCTTACGCCAATTCCTCTGATGATAATATTGATAGAGCAATGGTAAAGGTTCTATATGCTTCTAGGGTGGCGTCTTTCCCTCTTTCCAAGAGGGCGAAGCCTGATGCCCCTTGCACTTCTCGACCGATAGAGTCATGATTAGTTGAATGCTTCCATCCCTACATTGGCATGGTTATGATAAATATGGATTGCATAATGAGTTTGTCGCCAGCCATCAAGATTTGTTTGTGATTATGTGGTAGAGGAATCTATGCTGTTTTATGGTTTTATGAAGCTGGTTGCACCTGGGATTCATGGCTGCATTTATGCCTCTCTTGTGTTTCTTGTCTGCTGGACTTTGGGCATTCATTATTGCTGCTGCTGCAGCTGACTTTCCAGCTGGACTTTCAGCTGGCCTTCTTCCAGCTGGATTTTTAGCTGGCTTTCAGCTGGTCTTATCGCTTTTTATGCCTTTCAGCTGGTCCAGCTTGGGGGTCTTGTCAATCAAGGTTTTATTATGCTGCTGTGGCTTTGATGGGCTGTTTTTTCTCATGGCCCTTTTTCTGCTCGCTGCCGGGGCTTCTGGTTCTTGCTCGACGCTGCACTGGTTTAAAGGTGCTCTTTGGTTCTGCTCAACTGATTTTCAGCTGGACTTCCAGCTGGGCTTTCAGCAGGTTTTTCAGCTGTTTTTCATGTTTTGCGCCATTCAGCAGTTCCTTTGGGCCTTGGGCTTATGTAGAAGTTTTTCTTTGTTTTTCTTTTAAAGGTTTAAAGCCAACTACGGCCTTCCCTTGGCTATTAAGCTTTGCTTCTTTACTTCTTATAATCTTTGTTTTTATCAATGATATTTGTCTTTTATCAAAAAAAAAAAAAGATGATTGCGTCAATGAAAGCCTGTTCATTTCTTAATATTGAGAGGACATCCAAACCACTTTAAATTCTTTATCTTTGTAGGAGATATCGAAGTCAAAATTTCTTTAAATATAAAACTTAAAAGATTGAAATGGTTGATAGGATGAAAGTCGAAGTTCAATTCCATATAATGTGCCGGAGTCAAACTTGAGGATGAGTTTTTTTCCAACTCGGGGAGTTTGACACGGGAGTGGCACAAGACAAGCGAAATAGCCCAACTCCTTTTGTTAGTCAAAGCCCGATTCAATTGGAGGAAAACAAAGGTTTAATCAATCTTTAAATTTTGGGTCTATTTCCAATAATAAATTGAGTCTTTTCACATCAACATCAACCGGTATATTATTTGGAATTTTTTAGAATGAGTTACGACAATTTTGCTAATCAAATAGTGCATAATCTATCTAGTAAATCAGGAATTGTTATTTTAATTTTGTTTAGCCTTATATTGTCTTATGTTTTCCAAGACTCTTTTATAGTTTTCAAGTATTTTTAGGTCTTGGTCAAAGATCTTAAGTATTATTCTTGAAAATGTAAGTTGTCATTACCAGTAGTGCTTGAAGGGGTATTCCATGGTAAGTTGTGTAAGAGTATTTAGTTTTGTATTAGCTGAAAAAGTTTGATATTTTTTGAACAAAATTACAGCCTTTGGCTTACTTGAAGAAAGTTTCCTTCTTGATAAACTCTTATCCTTTCAATGGATTTTCAATTGGTGGTGAGTTTCGACTTTGTATTGCTTTGGTGTACTTCTCCGCATTTTTTGGCATCACTCTCATAACCCAGTTACTGTATGAGTTCAAAAGAGCATCAGCAAATCATTTTATAGAAGAATAAAAACATGATTCCATAGGATGACAATACTTAAAGACCATTGAAATGAAGTAATACATAGCAATAATTATACGAAACCACGCCAGCACAACAAATATTCCACATTCAAGAGTCAAGCATTACACCGAAATGGTAAGACTTGAAGTTATTTGATAATTATTATGCTGCTTGACTCAAGAGTCAAGCATGCTATTCACCACTAGTTTAAAGCAATCGGTTGGACTAGTAAGGAAATCAGATGATCCTTTGTCCAACTGTCTGGCACACCATGTCCATCTCCATATTGGTAAAAGCATTGAGCAGTCCGAGCAATATTTGGATTGGCACTTAAAAATGGTTCAGAGAAAGGACAGTGGTTGAGCATATCTCGGTTAATTTTCTTCCATATTTCATGGACTAAATTGTTTATGTATTCACGAGCAACTTCTTCAGATGCACCAGTTTCATTCATGTAACACTGAACAGCCTTGAGGATATCTCCTCTGGCCAACTCGTCCTACACATATCTCATGTTAATGTGTGACTTTAATAAAATAATATAATCATTGATAATGCATGTCAATTTTTTATCTTGGTTGTGAAACATACCGATGATGTTCCCAAATCATTGGCAAGTCGAAGAAGCAAGCTGGCGGAACGCATGATACTTGGAAGCTCATCTAGATGATCCAATGCCTCCTTAGTGATTTTATCTGTGGTTAGGAAGTAACTACATAATAGCATGAGAGGCGCTGCTATGGAAACCTTTGCATTTTCAAGATATTCTTCCAACGTAGGCTTGTATCCACCATAGTACCACTTTGCTTCCTTCAAGTATGCTTTACAGAGATCTGCCCACTNTCTTCCAACGTAGGCTTGTATCCACCATAGTACCACTTTGCTTCCTTCAAGTATGCTTTACAGAGATCTGCCCACTAACACAATAGAAACTTTTTGCAGTAAATTTTCAGTTACCAAAACTAAAGGAAAGCTTGCACTTATAAAAAAAACGTAACCTGTTTCCATGAATTGTATTAGTTGATTGTTGAGCTGAATATGTGATGCACATTCTATTGATCAAATTTAGGCCTCTCAATGGATTAGATTTTGATCCGAATTCAAATCAGATCATAATCGGAACATTTGGATTTATTTATATCCGTTCCGATTATGATCCGATCTGAATTATGTATATATTTTTATATAAATATTAAAGAAATTAAGTGATTATTTAAAGACATTTTTTGTTGAAATTTACGTATAATTTGTTAAAATTTAATTAATTAATTTATTCAGCTCGATCGGATTTCGAATTGTTAACAGATTCAGATGTGGACTAGGAAAAAAAAATTCGTCAAGTTACCGGATCGGATTCGGACAGGCCATTTGAATTCGAATCAATTAGAATCCAATCCAAATTCGATTNCGTATAATTTGTTAAAATTTAATTAATTAATTTATTCAGCTCGATCGGATTTCGAATTGTTAACAGATTCAGATGTGGACTAGGAAAAAAAAAATCGTCAAGTTACCGGATCGGATTCGGACCGGCCATTTGAATTCGAATCAATCAAAATCCAATCCAAATTCGATCCGTTGACAATCCTAAATTCAACTCTCTTTGATTCTCTCTAGACTGCCATGAAATTATATTTAGAATAAGAAGTTTTGATTTATTAATCATGACATAATTCATATATGATTTTGTTTTTCATATAGACAAATAGTTGATCAGATTTTTTATCAGCAATGCAAAAAAAAACAGTAAATATGATTAAAAATGCAACTATGAGCTTTTACCGCTTCGCTTAGATAAGGGATGATGTTGAAGCTTCGCTCTTTCAGTGTCCAATACCCAATTTCATTGCTAGTATTATACATGGCAAGAAGGCATNATATTTAGAATAAGAAGTTTTGATTTATTAATCATGACATAATTCATATATGATTTTTTTTTTCATATAGACAAATAGTTGATCAGATTTTTTATCAGCAATGAAAAAAAAAAACAGTAAATATGATTAAAAATGCAATTATGAGGTTTTACCGCTTCGCTTAGATAAGGGATGATGTTGAAGCGTCGCTCTTTCAGTGTCCAATACCCAATTTCATTGCTAGTATTATACATGGCAAGAAGGCATGTTTTTATGTTCTGGGGAAGCTTGTCAATTTCATTAATATCCCATCTGAAGGTTTTAGAGAAAAAAATTATAGAACTAATTAGCAAAAAGAAGAGAAATGAAAAACAAACTACTGTTTAGTAGTTATTAAAGATTTTACGTATGCAAATCTAATAAAAAAAAAAGTACAAATCTCCTTATAAAGNTCTGGGGAAGCTTGTCAATTTCATTAATATCCCATCTGAAGGTTTTAGAGAAAAAAATTATAGAACTAATTAGCAAAAAGAAGAGAAATGAAAAACAAACTACTGTTCAGTAGTTATTAAAGATTTTACGTATGCAAATCTAATAAAAAAAATGGTACAAATCTCCTTATAAACCAAACCTGTCAACAAAATCTGTAAAAAGTTCGATTTCTTCCATTGTGCCATAGAGATCATATACATCATCTATAGTAGTAATTAAGCATATTATCTTCGTTGCCATAAGTCGAAAGGGTATATACTGTGGTTCAAATAGGATACCATTGCACCAAAAGTAGTGTTCTACAAGTCTGTCTCTGGCAAAGCTGATCTTGTCCAAGCCCATATCCACCCACCAGCTGAGAATTTAAGAATTTACGATCAATTCATTAAAATTAAATGGAAACGAATTTAAAAAATATTCATGGAAATGGCATGCAAATGAAAAGTAATTTCATGTGATCAACAACCAATGCCATTATTGTGAAACAGATGCATTTCTTGAATACAAAACTAGGCTTCTACCTTGCTAACTTGCTAACTTCTTTCTGATGAATGGCTTGCACTATGTTGTACTCCAACTTAGCCAGCAGTAACAAAGGTGGGTTCATGTTTTGTTCTTGCTCATATGCATCGATGAACCATCTAGCTTCCACTCTTGTCAATCTCCAATGCAAAGGCATATCCAAAGCATGAACTACTTTTCTGGACATGCTTGGCGGTATGTCTCTGATGATACCTTTCAAATGTGTCGTCGTAAAAGCCTTGGCCTGATCAATGATATCTTCACCTTCTAGACCAAAGAAAGAGGCTTCGTACAAATTCAATAGCCCCTCCACATCCTCAAAAAGATTTCTCTTGAAATTACCTGTCTCGTCCCTAAACCTTTCAAACACACCTATTTCCAACAAAAGTTATAGAAAACATTATTTCTTAACCCAACTTAATTATTTCTTTTGTATAGCTAACCTATATGCCATAAATCATGATGATTTCTATCTGGCTCTTTATAGTTAGCAACTACAATCACTCAGGGAAGGGAACATTGTTTTACCAAGCAGTATAATTGTGATAGCTAGATGAGAAATCTGAGGCACAAGGAATTGTGACTGGAATTGAAAGTGTCAATCAATAGGTGATGACTTCTTCAATTTCATTGCATGCTAGCACTTCATTAACTTTTATAGTTGAAGTCTAGATATGCTTGATCTTGACACTTATTCCTTTTTATCCTTTTGGAAAGTGGAGGATCTTCTATTCTCTTGTTTCAAAAATCATCCATCCCTTTGGAAACATTTGTGTACACGAACTCTTTTTTCTATTTTTATGGAATTGATCTTACTATCCAAATGTTCAAACATCTCTTGCTAAAAAAATATTTAAAATAGGACGCTTTGATCCACTCATCTTTCATACTACACACTGCAGCAAATCCACTCATCCTTTATTTGGATGTAGCAGCGACATAAGATCACTCCTCTTAGATGAATCTATTTTACCTTATTTTGCCATCTCAGCGATTACAAATCAAAGGTTTTGTTTTTCACTGTTTTATGCAACTTCTATATTTAGGATATTGTAGGATGGGCTAATCTGATGTATTCAAACATTGATTAAAAGAACACAAACATTCATACGTACGATGGCGTAGATGCGGAAAAAATACCAAAAACAAATAAGACACATAAAAAAATAAACAGGCTTGCTTTAGTAGATCTAATTAATTGCGTGATTGAGACAAATAGAGTAAAATATGTGAAGATAATAGGTATTAATTTTTATTTCTTTATCTTTTTGGTTATATTAGGTAATATAAGTTAATAAACTGTTAAATATTTACCTTGGGGTACATTATAACCATGTTGTCTCAGGAGCCTAAATCGGAGGGCTATTGCAAATAGATCATCACTTAACCATGCAATATTACTATCTTTATATATGATATCTAGTGCTTTTTTGATCTCGGTCTCAAATAGATACTTTAATCCCAGTCTTTGAATAACGTCGATCAACTCAAGCTTAGCCAACGGGTCCATCACCCCATTAATGAGGCACTTTACGTCATCTTTTAGCTTATCAACTTGTCTCACATATTTCTCTTCCTGCAGGTCAGTAATAGATATAAGTAAATAATAAACTTCAATAAAGCCAAAATTTTCAATCGAGGTTAAAATAAATAGCAAAATGTGTGTTTTCAAGATACGTTGTAATCACTAGTAAGTGATTGAACAAAATCATAGTCCCAGACACTTTGCAGGTAATTTGCTGATCGTCTAGTAATTGTGTGATCATCAACAGTTATAACATTTGCAACACAACGAGTAGATTTAGAGTTACGAAGGGTAACAGGAATTTTTGATGAATGAAGAGGGAAGAGGAGGGTTGTAGAGACAAGGAAAGGTGAGAAGAGAGCTTGCAGAGCCATTCCTCTTCTTTAGCTACTAGTAGTTCAAGTCTACACAATCTTCCATGAGTGTAAGTTGGAGGACAACATCTATATATACAACCTCAAAGTAGTTGCATCGTGAAACAAAGGATCCACTTGGTCTAAACATGTTTGATGCCATTGGATTCAATTACGAAAGTGCCCCTAATGGTTTCTGCAATTTACAATATCAAAGTTGTGTATATTATGACTAGTGCAGGGCTAAGAATGACAAATATCTTACAAGATATTGTAGAAAAAGATGTCTATATAATTAATTTGCATTTTAGGAAGGTTGTTGTATTATTAAAAGTTATTTAATGATATAATATTTTTTAATATACTATTCCCAACTACTTTGGGTAGCTTGAAAATTATTTTATTTGTTGATTTTTGTAAAATTCAATAATATTTTGATTGGAATAAACATTTTTTTTATAAGTTTGAGTTCTTTAGATTTGATTTGAGTTTATTGAGAATTTATTTATATTGTTAATTGTAATACAAAACACCATTTAAGTCTCTAATATTTAGCTTAAGTTTTATTATTTATATTATTTTTTCTTTTCATTTATTGTTCTAAGATTAAATCTAATAAAATTATGTCATACCATTATATTAGGTATACCACTTTGTTCGAATTAACTATACTATCGATTGGAAAAAAAATATATTAACAATACTTGAATACAAAAATCTAATAAAAATTTTTGCATCCCAAAAAGCAATAATATAAATAATATTGCATAATGATTTAAATTTTAAAAATTTATGTTAAAATTTTCACTTTAAGCCTTGTTTTGTGTCGGACCGCCCCTGTGTCACATGAACGCAATACACGATAAATATCTGGTATTTCAATGTCTTGAAGTATGGAAGTTATAATTGATAGTATTAATAATTGTATGAATCTAAACACCATCCAACGAATGTAAATTGGAAAGCAAACGTCGCTATACAACTTTTAATGCATGTTTTCTTGTTTTAGGTTGGGGATTTAAAGCCTGTGATGATACATTATTTGCAAATAAACCTAATAAAAGCAAAAGAGTGCATAGCTACTGCTACATGTAAGTATGCGTTCATGGAGATAAAATGGATCAATGAATTACTCAAAGCTTGACTGTATATATAGAGAGAATTACATTTTTTGTTGTATTGAATATGAAATTGTTATGTAATGCATTTAAAAATATGAAAATTCGTCGGAGTTTTTTATTTGTTGTTTGTATATGTTATGTATGTCGACTTTTGTCATTTTTGTAATCAATATATTTTTAGATATCAAATATCATGAGACAAATATAAATGTATCATATTATTCTGATCATTAAAAAAAAAAAATTGTAGTTAAAGTGTCTACTCGTAACCAAATTTCTTGCTTTGTCCTTGTGTGCCATCCAAGCCCACATTTATCATATCTTGTATTTATCATCATTATGTTATTCATTGCTCAACCCCACAAATGCATTGATGCATATGGTTTGTCTAATTATTGTATTTCACTATTTATCAAGTCTCTCAATAGTCTATTCAAAAAAAAAAGGGGGGACATAATAACATAACAGGCATTTAATATAATTTCATCAATTACAAGTACATTTCTACAAGTTTTTGATGACTTAGACCGCTCACCAATAGAATCCAAAAAGAGTAATCGAATTAAATAGTAACGCAGTAACTTTAAGTATGGTGATTATCATAAATAATACCTTCATGCGAGTGGCACTTCGACAAGACGACAAAGAAGATTATGGAGGAAGAAGCCTTTAAGATTATTATGTTTGGAATTATATAACAGTTTCACTTTGGTATAGAACGGTAAAAGGGTTATATGACTAATTTGAAATGTCAAGGAAGTAAGATATTTCTGACCAAAACTACAGGGAATATGATAATTACCCTAAAAAAATCATTCAAAAAGTTACCGAAAAAAGAGCATTACAGTTTCAATGCATACAAATTCAATGAGAAGTGGGAATCTAAAAATAGGGAAAGGATATGGTACTGCGGTGTTATAATTTCACATTGATTAAAAATAAGATTAGATGTTTATATATGAACTCGTGAGTATCCCTCCCTTACAAGCCAGTTTTCAGGGACAAGTTCTTTACATGAGTTCATAATAATTGGTATCAAAGCTAGCCACGATGTTGAGTATGGGATTGAATGTAGTTTAAGCTACGGCTCTCTATCGATGAGTAATGGAAGAGGCGATCTATAGGTTGGATTAAGATGACTTGGTATTATGTATGGGCACCGTCCGTGGATGTCAACAATGGAAGCATGGTAGAATGTTACAATCTCACATCAATTAAAAATAAGACTAGATGTGTGTATATGAATACTTGAGCACCCTTCCCTTGCAAGTCGATTTTTAGGTGCAAGTTCTATCTATGGGTTCATAACACGCGGTAGTACCGATATCGAAATTTATANTTTTGTATAGCTAACCTATATGCCATAAATCATGATGATTTCTATCTGGCTCTTTAGAGTTAGCAACTATAATCACTCAAGGAAGGGAACATTGTTTTACCAAGCAGTATAATTGTGAAAGCTAGATGAGAAATCTGAGGCATNAGGGAACATTGTTTTACCAAGCAGTATAATTGTGAAAGCTAGATGAGAAATCTGAGGCATAAGGAATTGTGACTGGAATTGAAAGTGTCAATCAATAGGTGATGACTTCTTCAATTTCATTGCATGCTAGCACTTCATTAACTTTTATAGTTGAAGTCTAGATATGCTTGATCTTGACACTTATTCCTTTTTATCCTTTTGGAAAGTGAAATTACAATATATTATTTTACTATGGGGATGGAGGATCTTCTATTCTCTTGTTTCAAAAATCATCCATCCCTTTGGAAACATTTGTGTACACGAATTTTTTGNCCTTTGGAAACATTTGTGTACACGAACTCTTTTTTCTATTTTTATGGAATTGATCTTACTATCCAAATGTTCAAACATCTCTTGCTAAAAAAATATTTAAAATAGGACGCTTTGATCCACTCATCTTTCATACTACACACTGCAGCAAATCCACTCATCCTTTATTTGGATGTAGCAGCGACATAAGATCACTCCTCTTAGATGAATCTATTTTACCTTATTTTGCCATCTCAGCGGTTACAAATCAAAGGTTTTGTTTTTCACTGTTTTATGCAACTTCTATATTTAGGATATTGTAGGATGGGCTAATCTGATGTATTCAAACATTGATTAAAAGAACACAAACATTCATACGTACGACGGCGTAGATGCGGAAAAAATACCAAAAACAAATAAGACACATAAAAAAATAAACAGGCTTGCTTTAGTAGATCTAATTAATTACGTGATTGAGACAAATAGAGTAAAATATGTGAAGATAATAGGTATTAATTTTTATTTCTTTATCTTTTTGGTTATATTAGGTAATATAAGTTAATAAACTGTTAAATATTTACCTTGGGGTACATTATAACCATGTTGTCTCAGGAGCCTAAATCGGAGGGCTATTGCAAATAGATCATCACTTAACCATGCAATATTACTATCTTTATATATGATATCTAGTGCTTTTTTGATCTCGGTCTCAAATAGATACTTTAATCCCAGTCTTTGAATAACGTCGATCAACTCAAGCTTAGCCAACGGGTCCATCACCCCATTAATGAGGCACTTTACGTCATCTTTTAGCTTATCAACTTGTCTCACATATTTCTCTTCCTGCAGGTCAGTAATAGATATAAGTATATAATAAACTTCAATAAAGCCAAAATTTTCAATCGAGGTTAAAATAAATAGCAAAATGTGTGTTTTCAAGATACGTTGTAATCACTAGTAAGTGATTGAACAAAATCATAGTCCCAGACACTTTGCAGGTAATTTGCTGATCGTCTAGTAATTGTGTGATCATCAACAGTTATAACATTTGCAACACAACGAGTAGATTTAGAGTTACGAAGGGTAACAGGAATTTTTGATGAATGAAGAGGGAAGAGGAGGGTTGTAGAGACAAGGAAAGGTGAGAAGAGAGCTTGCAGAGCCATTCCTCTTCTTTAGCTACTAGTAGTTCAAGTCTACACAATCTTCCATGAGTGTAAGTTGGAGGACAACATCTATATATACAACCTCAAAGTAGTTGCATCGTGAAACAAAGGATCCACTTGGTCTAAACATGTTTGATGCCATTGGATTCAATTACGAAAGTGCCCCTAATGGTTTCTGCAATTTACAATATCAAAGTTGTGTATATTATGACTAGTGCAGGGCTAAGAATGACAAATATCTTATAAGATATTGTAGAAAAAGATGTCTATATAATTAATTANAATATCAAAGTTGTGTATATTATGACTAGTGCAGGGCTAAGAATGACAAATATCTTACAAGATATTGTAGAAAAAGATGTCTAAATAATTAATTTGCATTTTAGGAAGGTTGTTGTATTATTAAAAGTTATTTAATGATATAATATTTTTTAATATACTATTCCCAACTACTTTGGGTAGCTTGAAAATTATTTTATTTGTTGATTTTTGTAAAATTCAATAATATTTTGATTGGAATAAACATTTTTTTTATAAGTTTGAGTTCTTTAGATTTGATTTGAGTTTATTGAGAATTTATTTATATTGTTAATTGTAATACAAAACACCATTTAAGTCTCTAATATTTAGCTTAAGTTTTATTATTTATATTATTTTTTCTTTTCATTTATTGTTCTAAGATTAAATCTAATAAAATTATGTCATACCATTATATTAGGTATACCACTTTGTTCGAATTAACTATACTATCGATTGGAAAAAAAATATATTAACAATACTTGAATACAAAAATCTAATAAAAATTTTTGCATCCCAAAAAGCAATAATATAAATAATATTGCATAATGATTTAAATTTTAAAAATTTATGTTAAAATTTTCACTTTAAGCCTTGTTTTGTGTCGGACCGCCCCTGTGTCACATGAACGCAATACACGATAAATATCTGGTATTTCAATGTCTTGAAGTATGGAAGTTATAATTGATAGTATTAATAATTGTATGAATCTAAACACCATCCAACTAATGTAAATTGGAAAGCAAACGTCGCTATACAACTTTTAATGAATGTTTTCTTGTTTTAGGTTGGGGATTTAAAGCCTGTGATGATACATTATTTGCAAATAAACCTAATAAAAGCAAAAGAGTGCATAGCTACTGCTACATGTAAGTATGCGTTCATGGAGATAAAATGGATCAATGAATTACTCAAAGCTTGACTGTATATATAGAGAATTACATTTTTTGTTGTATTGAATATGAAATTGTTATGTAATGCATTTAAAAATATGAAAATTCGTCGNATATATAGAGAGAATTACATTTTTTGTTGTATTGAATATGAAATTGTTATGTAATGCATTTAAAAATATGAAAATTCGTCGGAGTTTTTTATTTGTTGTTTGTATATGTTATGTATGTCGACTTTTGTCATTTTTGTAATCAATATATTTTTAGATATCAAATATCATGAGACAAATATAAATGTATCATATTATTCTGATCATTAAAAAAAAAAAATTGTAGTTAAAGTGTCTACTCGTAACCAAATTTCTTGCTTTGTCCTTGTGTGCCATCCAAGCCCACATTTATCATATCTTGTATTTATCATCATTATGTTATTCATTGCTCAACCCCACAAATGCATTGATGCATATGGTTTGTCTAATTATTGTATTTCACTATTTATCAAGTCTCTCAATAGTCTATTCAAAAAAAAANTGCTCTACTCCACTGTGTTATGCCAACTAGTCATTGGACTTTTGGAGTTGTCGAATTTGAATCATCCACTATTTGCAACATAAACCCATACAACCTTAACTTTAGTCCCCTTTGCCGTATGAATCCAAATTTAAACAAGGGTTGTAGTTTGTAGGTAATTTTGTGTATCTGAGCTTTATCTTGCAATCAAACACATGATTGAGACAATTCTTCGTAACAAAAAAATCCTCAACTCTGTTGGATTGGGTAGGAAACTCAGCAGTCTCAATATATCCAAAAACAAACACATTGGTCACAAAAAAACAAAAATGAACAATTTGCAAGTCAACAATGTAAAGTATATTAAAATGGACAGTACAATCTACCCAAGTAGGTTATATGTCATTAAAAAAACACACGAGGTGACCAAGTGGGCTATAAGTATGACCATGTCCTAGGTCATTCTAAAGGATGCATATAATAGTATCCTCCCCATCATTCTTCCATCTTCCAACTTCCAACCCATTTCATAACAACCATCACCAGCTTCATCAGTCCAACAGAAGTTCAATGGCCATCCCTCTATCCATGATGATGATGTCCTTCGAGGGACACAGGCAAGACACATGCCTANCATAACAACCATCACCAGCTTCATCAGTCCAACAGAAGTTCAATGGCCATCCCTCTATCCATGATGATGATGTCCTTCGAGGGACACAGGCAAGACACATGCCTATTCCAAAACCCTGTTCCAACTCCAAGTTTCAATAGAAAATTGATGTTCCAGGCCCCATCAACAAGAGAAGTAAGAAGTAGAACACTGGGAAAAAACAGTGTGGTATGTAAGATCAGTGACTCCTCCCCACCCCAGGTTTCAGAGCTCAAGAAAACGACTGAGATAGCTAAAGAGCCTAAGAGAATATTAGCAGACACTTGGAAAGAAATTCATGGCGAAAATGATTGGGTAGGCATGCTTGATCCCATTGATCCCCTCTTGCGATCTGAACTAATTAGATATGGGNGGAAAGAAATTCATGGCGAAAATGATTGGGTAGGCATGCTTGATCCCATTGATCCCCTCTTGCGATCTGAACTAATTAGATATGGGGAGATGGCACAAGCCTGTTATGATGCACTTGATTGGGATCCATACTCCAAGTATTGTGGCAGTTGTAAAATCAAGCCTAACAAGTTCTTTGAAAGTCTCGGATGGACACAGTGTGGATATGAAGTGACCAGCTATCTCTATTCAACTTATAACATGAATCTCCCAAATTTCTTCAAAAAATCTCTCTGGCCAGAAGGGTGGAGTCATGTAGCAAATTGGATAGGCTATGTGGCAGTGTCAAATGATGAAACGTCGGCTTATTTAGGCCGTAGGGACATAACAATTGCTTGGCGTGGGACAGTTACAAAGCTCGAGTGGCTTGCAGACTTGATGGACTTTCTGCAGCCAGTTTCATATCAAAAGATTGCAAGTCGCGATCCATCGATCAAAGTTGAGGCCGGGTTTCTCCACCTCTACACCGACAAGGACAAGAGTTGTGATTTCTGCAAGTACTCTGCAAGAGAGCAACTTCTAGCAGAAGTCAAGAGAGTGATTCAGAAGTATGGAGATGAGGAATTGAGCATAACCATTACAGGGCACAGTCTAGGCAGCGCACTTGCAATGCTTAGTGCTTATGACATAGCCGAGACAGGGGTGGACTTGGGGGAAGATGGGGAGGTCATTCCTATAAGTGTATTTTCATTCTCCGGGCCACGAGTTGGGAATTTGAGGTTTAAGGAGAGGCTGGAGGGGTTGGGGGTGAAGGTGCTGAGGGTGGTGAATGTTCATGACGAGGTGCCTAAGGTACCTGGATTATTTTTCAATGAGCAACTGGCTCCAGTGCTGCAGAAGATAGGAGAAATGTCATGTTGGTGTTATTCTCACGTCGGCGAGGAATTGGCTTTAGATCACACCAAATCTCCATTCTTGAAAGACAAGAGCAACCTGGCATGCTTCCATAACTTGGAGGCTCACCTGCATTTGCTTGACGGGTTAGTNTCCATTCTTGAAAGACAAGAGCGACCTGGCATGCTTCCATAACTTGGAGGCTCACCTGCATTTGCTTGACGGGTTAGTAATTCATTTCTTGACACATTTTAGATAAGAACAATAACTTAGTCACGTCATAACATATTCAAATCGTGTCAGTTCGGATTCATGTCGAGTAATAGTTAATCAATTGTAACCCCACTCATTTACTTAATCTGTAAGATGTCCCACAACTTTACCAGCCTATTTATCAATTGTTTCGTTTTTTAGGTTGACATACCTAACCCCTAAATAGAAAAAAATGAGGCTAGTACCTCATTCTCTTTCAACAAACCTTTACACCCATAGACCAAGGCAAAACGAACCATTCTATATCCTAAGAAAACCAAGTAAAAAATCTGTAATTCTACAAGGGATTGATTCAATACCTTACGAAATGGAAAGAAGTGAAAACAATCGATCATTTCAAGATTCAATACTATTAAATGCAAGTATGGTGTCAAAATCATATTATTTGTGTTAGCAAATCATGAAGAATGAATAATCTAATCTTTGTTTTCGTAACTGGACAGGTACCATGGGAAGGGTAGCAGATTTTGGCTTGCTAGTGGAAGAAACATTGCACTGGTGAACAAGACTTCTGACTTCTTGAAAGATCATTTATTGGTGCCACCAAACTGGTGGCAAACTGAGAACAAAGGGCTGAACAGAAACCATGTCGGTCACTGGGTTGTGCCTGAGAGGCATGATCTTGAAGACCATTTGCCTCCACAAGATTTACACCATCATCTCCAGAAACTGGGTCTCGTCGTCGACCACTAATCTCCCTCCGGCCATGATTGGAGAATTTGAAGGTTTTTAAGGTTAATTGTGTCAGTGATTCTTTCAGAACGTAGGTACTCTTGTGATTTTGGTGGTTGTGCTTTATTCTTTGGGTGCATGAGATTGTTTTTCAAACTCGAACTCAGAGCTCAAATAATTGGCTACCATAAAAGTTTGTGGAATGTAACATAGGCTTAATTTTTTTCAATAACAAAGAATCGTTCAACTACAAAAACTACATTTATCAAGGACTCAACTTTACAACATCAAAATATCATAGTCATCAATTTGTTTCACTCGAGCTAACAAGAGTACTTTGAGATGAGGTTTAATTAAACTACTACCAAGTCTAGTCCAGCATACAAAAAAATATATAATGAAATGGGAAAGATTCTACACTTTTTCTCATTTTTTATAGAGGGATAGATTAATTGTTATGAATTCAGCAAGACTTAAATGATATAACTCAACCAATATTCTATTGATAATGAATATATGATGAAAAAACAAATTGAAACTTGGCCACTAATACTATTTGGATATNAAAAAAAAAAAAAAAAGTTATCGTCTTGGAAGGAGGATAATCACATTCAAAAATGATTGATTATTTAATTCTTCTCAGCCCTGTTGACAGCTTTTGCAGCTATGTCAGCCACGTGCATCGATTTCGATGAAAATTAATAACATGTCCAATGTGTTGGTGGTTACCACGACCATGTATAGAGATGCCCCCACAAGATTCATGGCAACACTACGCAGCCTCTGATATAAGTCGTGCAAATTTGGAACACTACAGTAATTTTGTGGATAAGAGATGATTTAGATAGACTTGAATTTAACCATACATACATCTGCGTGCTGCTGTCGCCAGCCCTGACTTGGCCCGGCCAGGGGTAAGTTTATGGGTCAGATCTAATTTTATATTTTTGTATAAAATTTGCTTTTTAAATTAGTCTATAAATTCGTTTTTGAATTTTATTTTTTGCCCATTAGAATTCAAATACTTGACACAATTAATTCATGGGTGGTCTAATTAGTATTTAAATATTTGACAAGATTAATTAAATTGGTTGAGTTATGTTGTCTACTACTTGACACGAATGTGATATAACATAACCTGAACACGAACCAACATAATTTGAGTCACACTCTCTTGGATTTGATGATGGTTCATGAAAGGTGAAACTTTGGATAAAAGTGAAACTTGATGGGTCAATTTGATATCCAACGTAGGCCAACCCAAAAAAATTCAATATTGAGCAAAGTTTGAATATAAAATTATCAACTCAATTTAAATTCAAACAGCACTGAATTTATGTCTCCACCTTTTAGGATCCAATCCAAATTGAAATCAAATTTATGCCCTAGTTGCATTACTTGAGATTCAAACTTTAATTAAATTGAATTTCAACTCGAATTTCTATCCGTGTTATCTTCCTCAAAATCAAACGTCAATTGAAGTCGATTTTGATTCAAATTTCATCCTACTTGCATGTCATCCAATTTTCAAAATTAAANCTCGAATTTCTATCCGTGTTATCTTCCTCAAAATCAAACGTCAATTGAAGTCGATTTTGATTCAAATTTCATCCTACTTGCATGTCATCCAATTTTCAAAATTAAATCATGAATGACATTGAAAATTTCAAATTAAGTTCAGTTTGATAGTTTTAAAAATTTTGATTTAACACGAGTTGGCTTCAACTTGTCTTACACCACTATACTAGTTAGATTGTGGCATGAGTATTAATATTTAAAATAACNATGGTTCATGAAAGGTGAAACTTTGGATAAAAGTGAAACTTGATGGGTCAATTTGATATCCAACGTAGGCCAACCCAAAAAAATTCAATATTGAGCAAAGTTTGAATATAAAATTATCAACTCAATTTAAATTCAAACAGCACTGAATTTATGTCTCCACCTTTTAGGATCCAATCCAAATTGAAATCAAATTTATGCCCTAGTTGCATTACTTGAGATTCAAACTTTAATTAAATTGAATTTCAACTCGAATTTCTATCCGTGTTATCTTCCTCAAAATCAAACGTCAATTGAAGTCGATTTTGATTCAAATTTCATCCTACTTGCATGTCATCCAATTTTCAAAATTAAACCATGAATGACATTGAAAATTTCAAATTAAGTTCAATTTGATAGTTTTAAAAATTTTGATTTAACACGAGTTGGCTTCAACTTGTCTTACACCATTATACTAGTTAGATTGTGGCATGAGTATTAATATTTAAAATAACTAAATTTATAGTTTTACTAGTTGGATGTATTAAGGGTGTTTCAGAATTTTGTTAACAAGCTTAATTAAGATATAGTTTAGTCTAGAAATAACAAGAGCATTATGTTTTTAATTTTTGCAGGTTAGGAGGTGATGTGAGAAATGACATATCGATATGAAATAACTTAAAAATTTTCAAACTATATAAAATAAGCCACTTGACAATGTAATGACATAAACTAAATTAATTTTAGTGACTTAATTAATTTAGTTACTAAAAATATGAAAGTTTTAGTGGCGACTTGACATTCATCACTAAAAATATAAAAAAATTTATAACAACACCAATGTTGTCACTAAACTTATGAATGTTCTAGTGATGACATCCAAGTCACCGCTAAAGCTACTAGTGTTTTAGTCACAACGTCAAATTCATCACCAAAGTCATTAGTGTTTTAGTGACGACATCAAAGTGATTACCAAAACCTTTGAAACTTTCAGAGATGACTAATCTAATTACTAAAAGTAATTATTTATCATTTTGAGTGACGACAATAAAATTCATCACTATTTATCCAATTTCTTATACATTCAGTGACGAAGTTACGATGACGAATAATTATTCATCATTAAAAGTTAAATTTTTGTAACAAATAGTATTATCGTCACTCATCCTGATCCATTAGTGACACTTTCACATGTCATAGCTAAAAAAGTATCATTAATGACAAAAATAACTTGATCACTAAAAAATTTAAGTATCACCTCTAAACTTATTCTCCTTTAAGTTCTCTTTTTCATTAAATAGTTCTCAATAAATACACATTTTAAAACATTTTCAAATTCTTTCTAAAATTTATTTCATAATTACCTCTATCATAAATAGTGCATGCCTACTTGAATGTGAGACTTTCAAGATTCCTTTTGATATTTGTATATCATTTGAATGCATACAAATTCAATGCATACAAATTCAATGAGAAGTGGGAATCTAAAAATAGGGAAAGAATACGGTACCGTGGTATTATAATTTCACATCGGTTAAAAATAAGACTGAATGTGTGTATATGAACTCTTGAGTAACCCTCCCTTACAAGCGATTTTCAGGGACAAATTATTTACATGAGTTCATAATAATTGGTATTAGAGCTACCCACCATGTTGAGTGTGGGATTGAACGCAGTTTGAGTTGCGGCTCTCTGTCGATGAGTAATGGAAGAGGCAACCTATAGGTTGGATTAAGATGACTTGGTAATATGTATAGGCACCGTGGATGTCGGCTACGGAAGCATGGTGGAATGTTACGATCCTACATCAATTAAAAATAATATTAGATGTGTGTATATGTACACTTGAGCACCTTTTCCTTGCAAGTCGATTTTTAGGGACAAGTTCTACATATGGGTGCATAACACGCGGCAATACCGAAATTTACAACTTTTTAAGTCAAGTTATAATTTTTTTGAGGTATAAATTACAACTTTAAAAGAGAAGATCAATCATAAAAGGTTAGAATCGATACTAAGATTTCATGATCAATCATAGATGTCTGTGATTAATCACAATAGTCTTTTGAACAGTTATAACCTTTCCTTTTAAAGTTGTAATTTTTTTTTAAAAAATGGTAACTGATAATATCGATACCATAAAAAATTACATAATAGGCATTTAATATAATTTGGTCAATTATAAGTGCATTCCTACCATTTTTAATGCCTCACTAAAAACAGAATCCAATGTGTTGGTGGTTACCACGGCAATGTATAGAGATGCCCCAAAAGATTAATGTCAGCAATACGCAACCTCAAGGCCCCAGTTCCTCTTGAACCCGTTTTGTGATATGCATTTCCAGCGTTCAATAGTGGCTTCTCTGTGGCAACTTGACCAACTATGGCTTGTCACATTGACAGGCTCAATCACGAGGCAAGTTAGAAGTGTTGGGAGAATGACATCATATAGGAGAGCATTTATTGAAATCTCTGATATAAGTCGTACAAATTTAGAACACAATAGTTATGGACAGGAAATGACTTAAATGGGTTTGAATTCAACCACACATACACCTGTGTGTCGCTGTCGCCAGTCCTAACCTGGCCGGGCCAAGGGTAAGATTATGGGTCAAATCCAATTTTATATTTTTGTATAAAATTTGCTTGTTAAATTACTCTTTAATTTTTTTTTTTGAATTTTTTTTTTGCTTGTTAGAATTCAAATTTCGCACTGATTTTGGACNTACACCTGTGTGTCGCTGTCGCCAGTCCTAACCTGGCCGGGCCAAGGGTAAGATTATTGGTCAAATCCAATTTTATATTTTTGTATAAAATTTGCTTGTTAAATTACTCTTTAATTTCTTTTTTCGAATTTTATTTTTTCGCTTGTTAGAATTCAAATTTCGCACTGATTTTGGATTTGAATTTTTTCATTGTTTTCAAATTTGAATTTTATGTATGTTCATGAATGGATAGACATCAAATTTCGCACTGGTTTGAATTTAAATTTTTTCACTATTTTCAAATTTGAATTTTATGCATGTTCATGAATGAATAGACATTGACGGTGTCTTCTTGTTTCTTTGTTATTACGTTGATCATTATCATTGTTAAGAATTTTCATNTGTATGTTCATGAATGGATAGACATCAAATTTCGCACTGGTTTGAATTTAAATTTTTCACTATTTTCAAATTTGAATTTTATGCATGTTCATGAATGGATAGACATTGACGATGTCTTCTTGTTGCCTTGTTATTACGTTGATCATTATCGTTGTTAAGAATTTTCATACAGAGAGTACGAAACACAATTTATGTTTTGTTGTGTGAACAGATTGTAGTACTTCGTTCTTCGAAAATCAATACATAA